CGCAGACCCGCCATAAAGCCCAGAATGAGGGCCTTGTCGGGCCGGGAGACACGATTTGCCTTGCGGAACATTTCATGGGCTTTATGTACATGCTCATTCTGAAAGGGATTAAGCGATAAGTCAAATTGAAGTAAAACCTTAAAGTCCCTGGCAATTCTTACAGAAAGCGATAGTCCCCGCCGTTGTGGTGCCTGTTGCGTCTGCTGCTGTTGTGCTGCTTGTTGCTGCTGCGGCTGTTGCTGCTGTGCTTGCACTTGGACCTGCACAGTGCGCGGTAGGACCGCATTCGGGGTGCCCTGTTGGCCGGCACTGTTCGTGGAGGTGACCAATCGCTGCTGCAGAGTCGGAGCTGGTTTGTGTTGAAGCAGTATTTGCTGCTGCTGCTGGCGCGGCTGCTGTTGCGGTGCCGTTACTGCCGCAGCGGCCGATTGGGTAATAATCGTTCGCTGCGTACTGTTCGGCGCCGCCTGCACCTGCACCAGCTGCGGCTGCTGGCCCGGCCGCTGTATCAGCGTCAGGCCCTGCGGCAGCGTGGTCAAGCCTCCACCAACGTTCGTCATCACCGGCCGTATGATGGTCTGTTGCGGGGACTGATATTCAAATGGATTTTAAATCGTTAAATACGGCTAATAAAAATGTATAACGAACAGCAGCTTTGCAGCTGGACTTGCACTTACATTTCCAATGACATTACTTGGCTGCTGCTGCTGCACAATAACGTGCTGGCCGCCAAGCGAACTGGTTGGAATCAGTGTGGGTAGCATCTGCTTTCCGGGCTGACTCGAATGCTGCTGTTGCATGTGCACGCCCGTCGACGGTGTGGTCTTGACCAGGCTGGGCGGACCTGCCGCCGTGGTTGTCATAAGCGTGGTACCGAGTCCCTGCAGGCCGCCCACATTGCTGATGGGAATCTGCTGGTACATGTCCCCGCCAATGTTCCGTAGTATGACACCCTTTTGGGTGAGTATAATCGTTTTGTTTTTGCCCGTCGTCGGCGACACATTGAGCGCTGAGACGCCACCTGGTCCCACGTTGCTGGTTGGCTGCATCAGGACCTGCGACAATTTTGGCTGCTGCGTGGCCGTCGTATTGGCCACGATTGTGTGCTGCGGATGGGGCTGCTGCTGCTGCAGCTGGGCCTGCAAGTGCTGCTGCTGGGCGGCCTGTGACGCGGGCTGAATGGTGACCGGTCTGTTCGGCAGCTGAACGTTCTGGATGTTCAGTGTCGTCGACTGCCCGGCGCCCACTGCAGCGGACGTTGCCACCAGTGGCGGGGGGTTTGATGAGACCACAGTTGTTGTCTGCTGCTGCAGCTGCTGCTGGCGCACTGGTGTCATCACCACACCCGACGTTCCCGTGGTCTTCAGCAATATCTTGGTGGGTGTCTGACCATTGCCGCCGGCCGTGGTCTGGTAAAGCGTTGTCGTTTGCGGCAATGGACGCCCGTGTGTAAATGATGTCAGCGTCGGCAGCATCGGCTGCTGCTGCTGCGTCTGCTGTTGCTGTTGCTGCTGATGCTGCTGGGGTGTGGCCAGTATATACTGCGTCTGTTGCTGCTGTTGTTGTGGCTGTTGAGATGTGACCAAATGCTGCTGTTGAATCTGTTGCTGTTGCTGCTGCAGCTGCTGCTGCTGTTGCTGGGAGGCTGCCGCTGCTGCGCTCGATGTTCCAGCCTGCTGCTGAGCCCTCTTTGCTGGCTGGATGATCGTCTGCGATATTATCACCGGGCCACTGTTTGTGGCCGTCTTCAGTTGGCTCAGCGGCATCGTTTTTATGGCTTGTGACGGTATTGTTGTGGTGGTGGTGCCGCTGCTGCTTGCCGTAGCCAATGACTTCTGCTGGTAAAAGAGGGGAAAATTAGTGACAAGCCACAAGGAAGACAACTTTTGGTTAAACTTACCGCTCGCTGAGCACTGGGCGACGAGGCCAGGATGACGGGCGTCGAGCTGTTGATCAGAATGGGCTGATGTTGCTGCGCCGACTGCTGGATCTGTATCTGCTGCGCTTGGCCCTGGCCCTGACTGCCGCTTGCCGCCGTTGCCGTCGTTCCAGTCGCAGCCGCAGCGGCCGCTTTAGCCTTTGTAGATGTTATCTTTACGGATATATTATTGGGCAAATTGGCCAACGGATTGGCCGCTTGCCTCAGCTGCTGCGGGGTGAGTATGGTGGTTGTGGTGGTCCCTGTGCTAGTTGATGGCGATGCTGTGGGCCGCAGCATGGGCTTTATGTCCAGTTTTTCCATTTTGATTGTGGTGTTGCCCACGGTTGTTGTTGTTGCTGCAGTCGCAGTGGCCGCCGTGTTGTTCTGTCGCTTCTGCGGAGACGTGCGGATGAGCAAATGGGGCGTGCGCTGCGCTGCTGCTGCTGGCTCTTGCTGCTGTATAATGACACGTTGCTGCTGCTGTTGCTTCTGCGATGGCGACACCTCGATCTTTTCCAGCTTTATGGTGGCGGGCACAATGATCTCCTCGCTCTTGATCTCGATCTCCTGCTTAATCCGTTTTGGTGTATGGTTAAAGCTGTTGTTGTTGTTATTGTTGTTGTTGTTCAGCTTCTTGCGCGGCGTTTTCTTAGTAGCCTCGACTGCTGGCGTTTTGGCCGCCTGCGGTTCGGCCACCACAGTGGCCGGGGCCTGTGCAAAGTCCAGCGTGGCTGTTGCATACTCGGGCGTCTCCGGATCGCACTCCATCGCCATCGCAGTTTTGCCGGCCAGTTCGGGCACCTTGAAGTCATCGTCCTGCGGCTCCTCCAGGCTGCCAGAGCTTTGGTTAAGCCCCTGCGGCTCCATCTTGATTTCGAAGCTGTTGTTGGCCGATGTAGGCGTGACAGGCGTCTCACCACCGCTGGCAGTCGCCGCATCTGTGGGCGGACTATCGCCAGCGCTGGCCGCTGCGGTTGCTGCCGCAGCGGATGCAGCCGCCGCGGCGGCCTGCTCCTTTTTCTCCTTGTTCTTTTGCTGCTCCTCCAGCTGCTGCTCACGCTTGCGCTTCTTGGCCGCCGCATAGCCCAGCGGCTGCTCTGTGAACTCGATGAGCTTGATGCCGCCATCCTTGCGGCCGGCGGGTGTCCGACTAAGATTGGGTCGCTGTGCTGCGTTGGCTGGCACGGTGGCCGAACGAAAACCTGTGGTGGGCATGCGGGAGGGTATGCCCTTGAGGGGCGTGGTGTCTGTCATCTTGCGGGGCATGCCGCGCGATCGCAGCGGAATCGTAGGGGCCGAGCCCTTCTTCAGCGACGATTGCGCATCCGCCGACTTGTGCAGCAGCTCTGTCCGCAGTTGGGCGCTCTTCGGTTTGCGCTTCAGTGTGAAATGCTTCACGGGGGCTGGCTGCTGTCCAACCTATACAACAAAATGATAATTTAATGCCAAAAATTAAGATAAAATGTGTTTTTCCACCTACCACTGAGATCAACGCATTCTTATTTAGGTACTGACACTCCAGGGGCAGCATTCCCAGGTCGGAATGCTTGTTCACCAATTTTCGCAAATCATTGACCATGTCTGTGAAGATGGGACGCGTGTCCTCGTAGTCGGAGATTTCTGTGTTCAGCGAGCTCGTGGCCGGAAACGTCTTCATCGTCTCGGCCAGCATGGAGACCCACAGCTCCGAGTCGAGACCGGCCACCTCAATCACCTCCTCGAGCTCGGCCTTCCACTGTAAATGCAAACAAAAAAACATTAAAAACAGGTAATAATTGGGCGCACAACACTCACGAACCCACCCACTCACGTACACAAACACAAACACATACCGAGAGAGAGAGAAATAGCGAGAGAGGGAGATTGGTAGAGAGAGAACAATGTGTACACAAAAGTAGAAGTGGCGGGAAACATTTTGTTAATATTTATTTCCCCACTAGGAGCCCGAAAAACATTAAATGATTGACTCAGATAAACGAGGAGCCAACCCATGCCCTATCTGATCAGATTTACAAGTCCATATCACAATTTACGGTTATTTACAGCATTAATTGTATTTCACCAAAGTGCGCGTGTGTGTGTGTGTTCTGGTGTACTCGTTCTTTATACCCTTGCAGGTGGGAGTACGCACATGCCACAAACTAAACTACATAGACTCTTGAGCTGGATTAAAAGCCAACTAGATCTACACTTTTTTCTAAGCAATTCACCTTAGAAACTGTACTTTAGTATCATTTTTACATAACTAGACCCACTGCAGCGAACTGCAAGGGTATATACACTTCGGCGCACCCACGTTCGTTTTCATGCACTTTTTCTCATTCATTTTTTTTTACACCAACGTCAGCCATTTACCTCTTCCACCAGACGGCGCGGAATATGCAGGAAGCTGAGCAGCAACTTCAGTTTAACCTGCGTCTGCAAATCGGGAAAGCATTCCTTGATGTTGCGCAAAACTTCTTTGTTTAATTGCGAGCATATTGAACCGTTTATCCACGAATCGTTTGATGTTCCCAGTTTATTATGCAGCCACAGTGATGTGTCGCTGTCCCTTACGTTCGCCATTTTTTACGTTTACGCCAATCCCCGCGCGGAGCACATACAAGTTTTAGCGTTAAACGAAGTCCCGTACACTTGCGCGACACTATTTAATTGAATTTCCCACTTTTAATTATGTTTAACGACAACAAAACACACGTAAAATCCTTCGAAAATTGTAATAGGCAGCGCACGCACACGCACACATAAAATGATGAAAAAAGTGTTGCCACATGTGTTGTACAGCGTCGCGATATATCGATTAGGCCAAACCAGTCGATGTTTACAGCGATATAATTTGCAACTCTGAACAACGTATACGATGTTCTTTACGTTGTTTTGTTAAATAAATAGCTAAATTTGAATTCAAAAAAATTCAACAAGATAATTATTTTAATTCATATAATTTTGTATATTTAGTCAATTACTGAATTTTGGGACAAACAAAATAAAGCTATATATTTATTATAAATAGCCAGATGTCCGGCTAATAATAATTGCCAGAACTAGCTTTAAAATAGCTGATTTGGCAACAGTAGGTGCTCGATTTTTTTGAAATCTCAATTCGGAATGGAAATTCTAAGCGATGGTGGCCAAAAATCCATTCAAAAAGCCCCTAGAAAGGGCATGTCAACTGGTGGAAAAATCCTAATCGCAGCCACAGGTGGTGTGGGGATCGGACTATCAATTGTGTGCGCCTCGTTTGTAGCTCCTGCTTTCCGCAAGATATGCCTACCTTATGTACCGGCGACCACAGAACAAATGCAGAATGTCCTTAGCTTTCTGCCAAAAAATGCCACCGGCAAGCTGTTGGACATTGGTTCGGGCGACGGTCGCATCGTGCTTGGTAAGTTGATCCTTTTTTGCACAACAGATCGACCGGCCCCCTTTATGTTATCTTATGTAATCCATTTCAGCGGCGGCCCAGCATACAAAGGGTCTGAAAACCGATGGAGTGGAGCTGAATCCCTGGCTTGTCTACTACTCGCGCTTGTCGGCGCTTCGTCACGGCGTGACCAGGCAGGCCAGCTTCTACCGTCGTGACCTGTGGAAGTTCAACATCAAAGATTACAACTTTGTTGTTATATTCGGTGTGGAGCAAATGATGAAGGACTTGGAGCACAAACTAATCGCCGAGTGCCCGCACAATACCAAGATCATCGCGTGCCGCTTTAAGCTGCCCAACCTGGAGCCGGAGCGCATCATTGAGGATGGGGTGAACACGGTGTGGTTCTATGACCTGAACAAGCAGACCCGACAAGTGAGCGGCAACAGTTGAGCAATAAAGCTGCATTTATTATTAAATAGTGTAGTTTTATTGTTCTTCTTGCTGAGAAAAACTATCCTTAAAATAAATGCTTGAGAGACGAGGAGACCGACTGTCAGAGGGCTACGCACGGGCGCAGCGAATCCCACTGAACCATTTAGTTGGTCAGTAATACAAAATTGTACGAAAATACAAAAAGGGAGCAGGACGGGGGATGAGCTGTAGCGAGGCTAGCCGGAATACAGAATATTAAGGAACACTGGGCGAGGAAATTGACACTTTACCACAGAGAAAAACGGCGAAACCCGCGAAACTGTTGATGCTAGAAACGGCGTCCCAAATAGATGCACTTGCTTCTCTCCTCGCGAAAGACCTCGACGAACCCGATCTTGGTGTAGAAGTTTAACTGTCCGGGATCGTGATCTGGCACACAGACATGCACACCGAAGCATCCGTTTGCACGCAGGGCGGCCAGCAGGACGGTTAGTATACGTTTGGTGATACCGCTATCACGATCCTCGGCTTCCTTTAAAGTGGCAGCAGTCAGAACGGCCGGAAAGGTAGCGCTCACTTCGGCGGGACAGTCCTGCAGCTCATCGTACTTGTTGTGAAACTGATCGAAAAAATGAGCAAGTAGCTGGTTCAGCTGAACGCTTGACTCGTCATCGCCGTCCAGCTCGTGCATAGTTTTGGGATACTTTTCACGCAGCTCCGCCATCCAGCACATTTGCAAGTTACGCCGAAATACGGTGACGTCCAAGGCTGCGCAGGCATAGCCCACAAGAGCACCGTTTTCATCGTACGCCACTATACACAGCTGCGGATTGAGCGTTATGTATGGGCCAACGATAGCGTCGGCCACAATATTGGCCACGCTCGAGGGCAGGGGAAAGTTGATGTGGATGTTGTCGGCGCCATCCAGTCCGCTGTGCCACTGCAGATATGTGCGCGTACAGATGTTGATCACGTCCAGCTCGTCTGCATTACGGTACGGTCTCAGAAGATAATAGTTTGCCGTTGGCTGCTCGGGCAACTTGTAGACAAACAGATCATTGCCAGAATCCACAGGCATCAGACGCTGCAGGTCGGCAATCAGACCGCCGCGAAAGACCCACGGTTCTTGGTCGCCCGACATGAAGGCCTCTTTCCAACCCTTGCTGAACCCTGCGGGGAAAAGATTTGTCAGTTTTCCATTAGGAGCCTGAGCAATGCTCACTGCACACTTACACGTATAGCTACCCTCCGTATAGGAGGACATGTTCTGCGGGAACTGACCCAGGGCCAGCCATTTAATGTAGCAGTTCAGGAGCGATAGAGCACCAGAAATGTCCCACACATACGAGTAAAGCTCATGGCAGATTTCCTTGTTCTGGCAGTTGGCTATTTTAATCAGCAGCTCCCCGACGCTGCCACAGAGCACGTCGAAGTTCTCGCACCGTTGCATCCACTCGCTTACCTCGGGTTTGGTGCTCTTGCTGGCCTCCCCCCTGCCGCCTGCCGAGGAGCGCTCCTTCAGGATTACATTCGCATTGGTCTTCAGCCAGTTGAACTCTTCCAGCAGCTTGAGGGCCCGGCTGCCATGTTCAAATGGTAAATAGAACAGATCACACAGTAATCCCAGATCTTCCGTAGTTATCTTTGATGCCTCCATAGTCGTTCTGGAAAACAGCACAAGGAAGAGGATGATTGACACTTATGTTGTGGTAATAACAAACACATACTCATGATCCTGTTCACGCATTTCTGTGTTCGATAGCGGGGAAGAGGTTGTACTTTCCACATGCATGCTCTGCGAATAAAAGAAGAGTGACTTTAATTGGTTCCAAGATCGAATTTGACTTTACTAACGTGCACATCGTTCACAGACTCCATGAGCACATCATCGGTGACCAGCTTGGTGATCTCCTCCTCCTTTGGAGAGACCTGGGAGGCTATGCTGCTGCTACATTCCATGGGCTCGTTGCCGCCGCCGCTAAGCGGACTCAGACTTGTGTCATCCAGCATTGTGTCCACGGTGAGGCTGGCCACAGGCTCCTGCTTCTCCTCCTCCAGAGATGCGTCCAATTCTTGATCCTTTGATTCGATTTCCAATTCTTCTGCCGGATTACCTCTGGATGCGATTGACTCGAAGATTTGATTGCCCAAATTCAGGCCCACAGACTCAGCCTCAGCGCTCTTTGCCTCCATGATGGGCACTGGAACAATGGAGATTGGTATCTTTTTGGGCAGCTCAATGTTGCAAGCCGCTGTAGTCGGTATGGGATTAATAATGTCATCATTGGTGACCACTTTGGTGGGCGACACCAGGGAGTTCATCACCGGATTGGATATCGGGGTCATAGAGGAGCTGACAGTGCTGCAAACATCTGCCAATGCCTGCAGCTGGGTGGTGTTCACTTCGGGCACAGTCCGGGTGTTTGTCGATGTGGTTGTGGTGGTCGTCAGGCTCATGCAGGTATTGATCGATGGTATGATCGGTATAATGGGCATAACCATTTGAACTTGCGGCTGTGGCTTGGTTATGGGTCCCCAGGCCTCCTTCTCCACAAAGAATTCCGGCAGCCAATCCGAAATGGCATTCCTAAAATAGTTTTTAGTAGGACAAAACCCAGCAAAACGATGTTCAGACTTACTTGAGAGCCACTCGTGGATGATATACGTTTTTAGATATAAACTCCGTGGGCATTTCATCCTCATTTTCAGTCTCCAGCTTGATATCGGAGCTCAGCGAGCTGTTCATCTTGGAATCCATGCTGCAGCGCGACCAAGAGGCCAGCGAGTGGATAGCAATAAAGTTGGCGTAGAACTCACAGTTGGGATTGGTCATCACTCCACGCAGGTGGGGGATCAGCTCGGGCGATCGGCCTGTGTACGGGCCCAGGAACACACGCTTCTGGTCGTAGTCGTTGGCATGCAAATTGTCCCAGATGCACGGAGGACGGCGTAGGACCTCCGTTATCTCCTGTATGGATTCAATGGATATTGTCTTTGAGATTACTTTATCTCCCGTCCAGAGAATATCGATGTCATTGTTGAGCTTTGACCCCAGGGTGTTTAAGTACTCCGATTCTTGGACTGTCGGCACAGCACGGGTGCCACAATACTGCGTTGGACAGAACAGGAACTTGGGACTGCCCAAGTGGGTGAAAATCTCATTGGTAACCGACACATGGGCATTGGCAAACGTCTGGAACACCTCCTTGTCGACCTTGGACAGTTCCGATTCAATGTCGTCGAAAAGCAAGGCATACGCCTCGCATCCGAATTGCGAGACCTGATCCAACTTCCGTTTTAGCGTCGCTATCTCCTTCGGACTGCTATAGGTCATGTCCAGTCCGGGCGACAAAGCGTAGTAGAAGGCAATGCCGGCTTCCTTTGCGGCCGCAATCAGACCTAAAGGCAGAGAAATTATGAACAAAAAAGAAAGAGAACACTGTGAAGCACCTGCTTACTGGATAGATGATCCGCTTCCTCAACCGTGTACAGCTCTCGCCAGTAAGCTCGGTGTTTGTAGTCGTCTTTAGGTGCGTACATGTACGAATCCATTCCCATCGACTTGAGTTTGCGAAATAGGCCCTTGCGCTGCTCCGTAGTCCAGGGGCGGCCGTAGAAGCCTTCGATCACGCCGCAAATAAACTGCCGCTGCTCATCCTGCTGGGACGCAAGCTGTGGTTCGGCGCCGTGTTCCATTTTTCTCAGGATTTAAGAAAGATACCGCAGGCAGCGACTTGCGAAAACAAATGTTATTTATTTCGGTTTTTGCAAACTAGTGTTGGGCACTGGCTAAAACCAGTCGTGCGCTACACCCAAACATCAATGATATCGATGTTTCGCCCAGCTCCAGTGCTCACGCGCCTATTCCAGCACTAGCTTAAAGAAACATCAATTTCGTTTTGTTTTGTTTATCTATTTTGTTTCGTTTTATAATAAGAGAATGCAGCCTTTTATCGTGATACGCAATTACCGGGAAGATGATGAATTCAAGTGCCAGGATCTGGTGCGAGACTACATTATGTCCTTCTCCACGAAATCGTTCTTCGCCCTGATGTTCCGAGAGGTACATAAATACATATGTTATGCATATATGTATACATAGATACGTGTCCTATCAGTATTTAACATTCAAAATGTTGGTTATTTCTGGCATCAGATTACACTTCAGTTCATAGTCATCACATGGGCGATATTCTTCATATTTCTGGGCGTGCCTCTGCTCTTTTGTACCCTCTCGATACCCGGATGCATCTTCTTTCTCTTCACCAGCACGTACTTCTCCTTCTACGCCAAGGCAATGGAGCTCATGAAGGTTTGAGTTACCGAATTCCTGTAAAAACATAAAACCTAAATAGCTAACGTTACTTAATCTCTTCCCGTTTAGGTGAAACCCTCCCAGTCCTTGGTGGCAGAGTGCTACGAGCCATTCATTTTTCGCTGTTCCCCCAAGGAGGCCAGCTATGAGGTCTTCGTGGAGAATTGCCCATACGATGAGGAGTACAAAAGGAAATTCCGTTGCCGAATTGTGGCCGCGATAAGTGTAAAAAATCACCATGCTGTGTACAATGCGGCTTGGATTTGTCGCTTTGCAATTGCTCCGGACTATCCCTATCAAAAGATTATGGAGCCCATGATCAGTCTTGTAGCGAAGAAATGCGCCACAGGTGGTTATGGCTCGCTAGAGTGCACCATTTCCGAGTGGCAGGAGAATGAACGCGAATTCTATGACGAATTTGGCTTTGTCACGCGTCAGATATACCACAAGAAGATCATTGGCAGCAGTCTTACTGTGATGAAGACACAATTAACGTACAGTTTACGCAATGACGATGGCATCCAGAAGCGAAATTAGGGCGATGTGAGTGCAATATATGTATAGAGAATCTCGATAAACTGTGACATGTACTAGTTCAATATTTATACATTAATTCTGTTGACTTTTCACATTCCGAAGTTAAGTCGAAACTGTAGAAACTCCCCCACCATCCGCTTCGCTTCCAAGAGGTTGTAATATTAATATTACATTATTATGTAAACATAGATA